AAATCTTTTTGTAAATCAGCAGCGTCTTCTTCATAGCTAGCGACACCCAAGATCTTAATACCATCTGCAAATTTAAGTAATTTATTGACTAAAATTTATGTTAATAAACACTATGCATGAAAAACATAATATACAAAGTATTTTATCTGTAATGCATTTCTGTATTACAGTGGTGGAAATACATGACCTTTGAGACGTTTTATTGTTTCGAAGGTTTAAAGATTTGATAAATTAAATTTACGCCAGGTTTAAACATGTTTAAAATTGACAGTTTGCACCTTTCAATCAATCAAAATAAATAGGGCAAAACCTAAGTTTTCTTCATTTTTTTGGTTTGTAAAAAAATTTATTTGATTTTGTCCTAATTGCACATAACTTTGTAATTTCACAATGTTCAACAGGTCCATATTAAATTAATATTAATACTTTCCATCATCATTTCTACCATCAAAACACACACTTTTTGTAATACTTCACTATGTAGAAATAGACAGATGTGTTTGTTAGTAACTAAGCACAAAGCTACACAATTTGCTATCTGTGTTGTGCCCACCACCGGCATCGAAACCCGGTTTCTAGCGTTGTATGTCCGCAGACATACTGCTGTGTCACTAGGGGGTTATAAATGTAACTTACCTGAAGTTAAATATACAAGTTATTGATTTAAGTACCTAAAAATGAAACAATAGTTTTTGTCAGGTTTTATGAAAGATGGTATCAAAATGTTTTTTGTTTTTTCAAATTTATAAACTGAATTAATAGAACTATGGAAGTGAATAACTATCATATTTTGCTTCATTTTTATGCTTACCCGAAAAAAAACAAAAAAACACCTATATCTTTATATTCGGCACATTAAAATTAGTTTGGAAAAATGGTTAACCAAAATTGCCCCTACCCATCTGAACTGGACTTACTTCGGTTGAGAAGTTTATTCAACGCGTAGTTTTAGTGATTAAAACTATCGACGTAATAAGATCGTCTGCTTTGTAAAGAGATCCTATTACAGCGTGACATTTTGGAGTATGTAAGTCAGTGATGGGGTTGTTGTTTTTTTCTAAGAAATTAAGAATTACATGTTGTATTAATGATGAAATTTCTTTGCTTTTGATATTGATATTACAGAGGTTATTACTATTAGTTTCCTCGTCGACATCAAATTATTGAATGTGAAACTAACTTGACATTGGTACTACTACTACTAGCCTAAATTTTATATTTAACAATACTTAAATACTGGATAGAAGTTACGCTCTAACTAACCTACTGATATTATTAGATAAAATATAATTACAAGTGTAATGGGCTAATAAAAATTTTGTACTGTGATTAGTCCGAAAAAAAATATTAAATTTGCAGGTGACTGTCTGATAAGAATAGAAAGAAACTTGTGATAGGCTTACAATATAAGTTATATTGTGTACAGTTTATAACTAATTCTGTTTGATTTAACCTCTGGAATTTTATATATGTATCATTAGTAGTGATTAAATGAGTGATGAATGTTATTTTACAGTTAGAAAAAATAAAGATTTTGAAGCCAATTCTCCCAATCAAAGAAACTAAGAAAGATTAATCTATGTGGGAAAGTTAGAGAATAATGAAATGCTGGGAAACGAATTATTAATAGTATTTTAAGCTAATACTATTAGCAACGATCTAAAAATGACTCATTTAAATTGAAAACAAAGCTGGAGTAAAAAAAAAAACTTTAGGTCATAGTGATTGAGGCAAGATAATCCAAAAATATCTTAATATGCTATGTTAGGAAGTGTTTTTGTTGTTGTTAATAGCCCTAATTGAACCATATAAAGTTATTTTAGAGATATAAACTAGCAGCATGTACAAGATTATCAGGCAAACAGGTACACAAGTTTATAAGTATAAAAGAGAACTAATTTCATAACAAAAGTTTAGATATAAGTTGCTTTTCCAACCTTTTAATTACCTAATGCACATAGGCTACTAAAATCTGGTTATTCAGTTTCAAATTGTTAAAAGCCATCACTAATTCTTCTATAATCAAGAGAAAAAAATTTCAAATTAAATTTTTACTCAATACATAACTTAATTGAACCAGTTTTTTTAAGTTGGTATCCCACATCAGAACCATTTTAACATTTTGATATCCTTCCTGTAGTATTATGCAGGACGTGACAATAATATTATGGCCTTGAATGCTATGGACATTTTTTTTATGGATTTTTAATTAGCGACTTACCAACGTGCATATTTCAGAACATGGAATGAAAATAAAACATGCCTCAAGACAGTGTAACTGGAAAACCTCCAAAAAGTAAGCAAAAGAAGGACTTGTCTAGAATACGAAACAATTCTGATTTGGATTTTCAGCCTCCTCATGTTCGTGGTGATGACAGTGATACAGTTTTGCCTATTACATTCAGGTACGTCAGATGCCCTGTTTTACACTGTAGTTTTTGTAATACTTTAAAGTTTTTGCACATTTTGGGTGTAATTAAGTAGCAAGGAAGTCTATTACATGCCGCAAAAGTTCACATAAATTTGGGAGACATTTGTTTGAGAGAGAAGTTTTTAAAATGGCAACATGAGGACCTAGTCCATAAAGCTGTGCAAAGAGATGACCTAGTCCATAAAGCTGTGCAAAGAGATGACCTAGTCCATAAAGCTGTGCAAAGAGATGACCTAGTCCATAAAGCTGTGCAAAGAGATGACCTAGTCCATAAAGCGTGCAAAGAGATGACCTAGTCCATAAAGAGAGCCTAAAGTAATATCTTCCGTTTTGATGACTAAAAAGAGAAAATATACATTTAAAGAAAAAAAAACTATTCTGTTTGTATTTATTAACACTTGACCCACTTTCTAATGCATTCAATTCTCCCCTTCTGGTATTATTGAGACTGGTATTGGTAGTATAGCCCGGAGTGTGGGGTTATTGAGACTGGTATTGGTAGTATAGCCCAGAGTGTGGGGTTATTGAGACTGGTATTGGTAGTATAGCCCGGAGTGTGGGGTTATTGAGACCTGTATTGGTAGTATAGCCTGGAGTGTGGGGTTTTTGAAACTGGTATTGGTAGTATAGCCCGGAGTGTTGGGTTATTGAGACTGGTATTGGTAGTATAGCCCAGAGTGTGAGGTTATTGAGACTGGTATTGGTAGTATAGCCCGGAGTGTGGGGTTATTGAGACTGCTATTGGTAGTATAGTCCGGAGTGTGGGGTTATTGAGACTGGTATTGATAATATAGCCCAGAGTGTAGGGTTCTTGAGACTGGTATTGGTGGTATAGCCTGGAGTGTGGGGTTATTGAGACTGGCATTGGTAATATAGCCTGGAGTGTGGGGTTATTGAGACTGGCATTGGTAATATAGCCTGGAGTGTGGGGTTATTGAGACTGCTATTGGTGATATAGCCTGGAGTGTGGGGTTATTGAGACTGCTATTGGTGATATAGCCTGGAGTGTGGGGTTATTGAGACTGCTATTGGTGATATAGCCTGGAGTGTCATAATTGTGTCATGGTGTGTTAAAAATCGTATACTTTTATTAATAAATTTAGAATTTTTTTTCTTTTCCATTTTTCTTTGGATAATTAAAACTTTTCATGTTTACAGTTTATCTACCAGTGGAGTGGATTTTAGTAAACAACTATTATGTACTTCATTTATATAAAAGGTATAAAATGTTTCAAAGAAAAATAATGTTAAAATAATAAATAAATATATTATTATCTTCATCTTGTAAGTTTTTTTCAGTCAGTGTTACCATACAAAGTAACATAATCTTCCCCAAATGAAGAAATGAAATATCATCATCCCTAATGTTAATGTAATTTGTTAAGTCTGTGTTTATAAAATATCATCATCACTAATGTTTATGTAATTTGTTAAGTCTGTGTTTATAAAATATCATCATCACTAATGTTAATGTAATTTGTTAAGTCTGTGTTTATAAAATATCATCATCACTAATGTTAATGTAATTTGTTAAGTCTGTGTTTATAAAATATCATCATCCTTAATGTTAATGT